TCTGTTTATGAGCAGTGAAGAAATAAATTTAGAGTACAGTTCATCTCCCAGGGCAGCTGAGCCATTTCTGCAGCTGCAGTGGGTGGTGTCTGACATGCTGCACACACTGAAATATCTGGTTTTCATAGAAACATAGAATTGTAACATGGTTTGGGTCACGAGGCTCATTCTACCACTTGCCATGGGCAGGGACACCTTCCACCTTCAACCTGCCCCAGGCTGCTCCCAGCCCTGTCCAGCCTGGCCTTGGGCACTCCCAGGGATGGGGCAGCCACAGCTGCTCTGGGCACCCTGTGCCAGGGCCTGCCCACCCTCACAGGGAAGGAATTTTTTCCTAAAATCTAATCTAAACCCGCTATATTTTGTTATTTGAAAGAGGTATTTTATATCTCTTTTATTATTTGGTGTTTCAGAGGATTTTCTTTGGCTGGGGCCACACAAGAGGGAGGCAGGAGGAGTGGCCAGGCCCCAAATTCTGCTCCCCCTCACTCAGGTGTGAATCCTTAAGCTGCCCCTTCAGTGTGAGGATGCTCAGTGCTGGTCCTGAGCCCTGGGACACTCGGGCAGCCCAGAGCCAGCACTGGGCTCAGGGACACCTCATCCCTGGCCACAGCAGTTCCCTCTGCCAGGGGAGCCCGGGAGCAGCACTGACCTGAGTGGGCTGAGCTGGGGTGTCAGCCAGCTGTGAGATATGGGAGATATTTGCATTTATTATAGAATGGTTTGGGTGAGAACAGACCTTCAAGCCCTTCTCATTCCCCCTCAAACCATGGGGGACACCTCCCACTGCCCCAGGCTGCTCCCAGCCCTGTCCAGCCTGGCCTTGGGCACTTCCAGGGACCCAGGGGCAGCCCCAGCTGCTCTGGGCACCTGTGCCAGGGTCTCCCCACCCTCACAGGGAACACTTTTTCCCTAATATTCAAATGTACTCTCTGTCGATATTTTGTTATTTGAAAGAGGTATTTTATATCTCTTTTATTATTTGGTGTTTCAGAGGATTTTCTTTGGCTGGGGCCACACAAGAGGGAGGCAGGAGGAGTGGCCAGGCCCCAAATTCTGCTCCCCCTCACTCAGGTGTGAATCCTTAAGCTGCCCCTTCAGTGTGAGGATGCTCAGTGCTGGTCCTGAGCCCTGGGACACTCGGGCAGCCCAGAGCCAGCACTGGGCTCAGGGACACCTCATCCCTGGCCACAGCAGTTCCCTCTGCCAGGGGAGCCCGGGAGCAGCACTGACCTGAGTGGGCTGAGCTGGGGTGTCAGCCAGCTGTGAGATATGGGAGATATTTGCATTTATTATAGAATGGTTTGGGTGAGAACAGACCTTCAAGCCCTTCTCATTCCCCCTCAAACCATGGGGGACACCTCCCACTGCCCCAGGCTGCTCCCAGCCCTGTCCAGCCTGGCCTTGGACACCTCCAGGGACCCAGGGGCAGCCCCAGCTGCTCTGGGCACCTGTGCCAGGGTCTTCCCACCCTCACAGGGAACACTTTTTTCCTAATATTCAAATGTACTCTCTGTCCATTTTCAGTTTAAAGTTTTTCCCCACCAGTGGGACTCAAGGGTGGCTGCTTGGAGGGAGGCCCCCCTGTCAGACCACCCAAAAGCAGCTGTCCTGAGCCCTATGGGCTTTGTAGGAATGTCAGGTAGGATGTGGGGCGTAGGGAGTGGGGGACAGAGCTGGAGCTCAAACTGTCAAGAAGACAATTTAAGTAGCATGAGTAATGGCCTGTGTGCAGGCATGCTGCTGGTGTCACAGATAATGGCTTTAGGGATTTTAGGTAGCACAAATGTTTGATGGCAAGTAGTATGCTTCTGAAAACCCACCATTCTGGGTTGCATCTCAGCCCTGGGGTTGGGGAATTCCTGTGTTTCCAAAGCCTGGACAAAGCCCCAGGTACAATTCAGTGACAGGAATGTGGGGGTGTGATGCAGTTGCAGGACTCACAGCTTTTCATCTGCTCTGGGGAGCTGCAGTTACCTGAGTCCTGTGTGATGCCTGTCACCCCAGGGCTGTGCCATCTCAGGAACACAGGAACAGTTGCTTTTGGGCAGCTGGCTGGTGTCCCACAGTCCCTGAGCAGAGTTTGCTGTCCACTGCTGGTTTTCAAGAGCTATTGGGCTCTGTGCCTGGAGGTTGGCATGGAGGAGAATCGTGATTGCATGTGGTTTCCTAGAGCTTGGGGTCACCCTGGATCTCCTGGAGTCTTCCAGGAGCTGTGACAATGGGCAACACTACTGCATGTCTGCATGCACACACTCGATAAAACCGCAGAAAATGCAGCTGCTCTGGTACTGGCACCTGGAGGGGAGCACATGCAGCTCTGTGAGCTACCCCTGCCTCCCTCTGTCTTGGTTAGAATAGCCAGGTGTCTGCTAAGGAAGGCAGGGGACTTCCTTGGAATGTAAACCCCCTCCCTCTAAATTATTAAAATTTTTAAACTAAGGGGTTCTCAGGCAAAGATATGGGAATAGGAATAACAGTTCTTTACTAGGAAAATTAAATACACAAATGCAATAGTACAAAACAAACCACTGCCAGAGTCAGAGCAGGAGCTGACCCCCTGTGTGTCAGGGTGGTGGCACAGTCCCATCCCATGGGGGCTCAGCCCTCCTGCAGTGCCAGCTGTGCTTCTGCTGGAGCAGGGATCCTGCACAAGGCTGCAGTTTTCCTCTGAAGCTCCAGGGCTGCTGGAGATGGGCCTGCTCTCCCTCTGGGAATGCAGGGCAGGAGAAAGCTGCTCCTCTGGGAATGCCCTGGGCAAAGGCTGCTGGGGTGTTCCAGGCTCAGATTGTATCCAGGTAGGAATGCTGGGCTCCTGCCCTGGGCGGAGCATCTCCCCATGGGATGCTGGAATTTGATCAGCCATGCAGGGACACTCAGTGGCCATGGACAGCAGAGATCTCCTGGAGGGAGGATTGGCTGTGGGAGAGATAAAGAAAACTGCCCCATGGACAGCAGAGAACTGCCCAGCTCTGACAGATGGGGATAGAATTCACACCCCCAGCCACATCTTGCAACCTAAGACAGGGACTTATAAGAAAGATGGAGACAAAGTTTTTAATAGGGTCTATTGCTGTAGGACAGAGGGTGATGGTTTTAAACTGAAGGAGGATAGATTTAGATTAGTTATAAGAAAAAAAAATTATACATTTATGGTGTTGAGACCCTGGTACAAGTTGCCCAGAGAAGCTGGAAATTTGCTGTTATGTCCCTCCCAGGCTGGGGGAGGGTGGCTGGGGGCAGGGATCTGCCTGCTGCCTCTTCCTTGGCCCAGGTTTGAACCTTGCTGCTCCTCACTGGCTGCACCTGATACTCCTGAAGCTGTCCAAGCACTGTTCATCTGCTGTGGACTTCTCAAAGGGACTTCTTGGGACCACCTTTTGATACTGGGCAAGGAGTTTTCAGAGGAAAATCCCTTCAAGTGAGAGACTGAGTCTGTTCTGCTGGGAAATCAGGGCATGGAATTGACTTTTGCAGTGCTGGATCCTGACATCAGCCTCAGCAGCTGCATCCCACTCCAGGCTGCATCCTGACGCTCACCAGCCCCAGCAGCTGCAGGGCTGCTGCAGCTTGCAGTGGGCTTTCCTGTTTTTCCTCTGCAGCTGGGGAGACACCCCACCACACCAGTGGCTGCTGGCATGGCTCTGCAGCCCCTCCATACCTGAAATGATCCTCATGGCAGTTGTGTTTGCATGGGATTGCAAGGACAGGCTTTGGGTGACAGTCTGGGGGGCATTTGTCCCCTCAGGGTGGGAGGTGAGCAGTGTTGAGTTGTTGTAGCTAAAACCTTGAAGACAGAGGCAGTGCCAGGATCTCTGCTCTTACCCTAGCTGCCCTCAGATCCAACAAGAAATGGCATTGTGTGGGTGACAGTCATGTGGGGACACAGCACAGTCACTGCTTTTGGAGACATTAATTGAGCCAGCAATGCTTCTCCCTTGAGCTCCAGCCCTGGCTTTGTAAAAGGAGAGGATTTTCCATTTGGCAGGGCATGGGGACCCTGGGAGGAAGCTGTGCTCACAGCACTACAGTATTCCCCAGTGAAGATTCACTCCCAGTTTGGTCTCAGAGAGACGTTTCTGCCTTTCTGAGGGCAATTCCCTGGAGATCCTGAGCAGTGATGCTCCTTGTCCTTCAGGGGATAAAAGCTGAGGAGAGGGACCAGGAAACACCAGAAATATAAATAGCACTGTCCACCTGGCTGCTTCAGGAGGCTTTTAGTCCCAGTCGGGAAGGGACATTGTCAGCAAGGGCAGTGATGGCAGTGACAGGCAGAGCCAGCTGGGCACAGGCAGCTCTTGGCTGTGCTCCAGGGACAGATGAGCTGCCCTGGCCCAGCAGCTGCAGGGCTGTGCCAAGCCCCTGCAGTGGGGTGCCAGGTCCTGCCTGGGAGGGGGTGCAGCACCTCTGCCCAGTGAGCCCCAGGCCCATTTCTAGCTGGTCACTTTGCCAGGCAAATGTCTGGCATTAAGCAGGAGTCCTTGAGCCCAAGGCCTCCATTCCCTGGGAGCTTTCTCATCATCCCAGGCAAAAGGGGAGCCATGGTACAGCTGGCTTGTCCCACAGTGACTGTGTGGGGACTCCAGGACAGATCCAGTGAGCCCTCAGCTGGAGAGGATGAGAAGGTGTCAGTGCTGCATGTAGGAGGAAGGCTGTGGGGGGAACGAGAGGATGAGCAGCAGGGAGGAGAGCCAGAGAGGAGCAGTGCCCTGGGCCAGGCACCTTCAGGTGGCTTTGCTGGAGCAGTTTAGAGGAACCCTCAGGGCAGGGTCCTGGCAGGGGCCATTAAAGGGCTGAGGGGATCGTGCTGCAGGCCAGAGAGTGGCATGTGGGGCTCAGCATGCCACCTTTGTCCCCAGGGTCCCCTTGGTGTGTGTAGGGGTGGCAGAAGGGGCTAGTCCAAAGTCACTGGTGAGGATGACAGGATGAGGATGTCACCAGGGGAGGTGACAGTCTGTTCTAATGGAGCATTCTCTCCTGCTTGCCTTTGCAATCCCCAGGAGAAGATTGAATATGCCTTCCTCATCTTCTTTGCCATCGAGGCCATGCTGAAGATAATTGCCTACGGCTTCCTTTTCCACACGGATGCCTATCTCCGAAACGGCTGGAATGTGCTCGACTTTTCCATTGTGACTCTAGGGTACCGAAAAGGGGGAAGGCTGCTGCTGCTGCTCAGCTTGTGCCAAGCCTCTTCCACAGCCAGTTTTTATGGTGATTGCAATGTGTTTGGGGACACCTCCTCGACTCAGTTCATGGCCTTCTCCTGTGAGCCCCCTGTTCCTGTTCTGAAATCCCTTGGGATCCTCTCTAACTCTGATTTCTTCCTATCTCTACTCCTTCATGCCTTGTAGGTCTCCTTGCCCTGGGGAAAGGTGGTGACGTGGGGTCCTCCAGGGTTTGCACGTGGGGTGGGAGCTCCCTGGCTGTCAGCAATGTAGCTGAGCCCAGGAGCTGGCATTGCCAAGATCTGCCCCTGGGCGAGGCTGAGCATGGCTGGCAGTCCTGACCTTGCTTTGCTGCCTGCAGAGCTCTGAAATCCTTAGCTCAGATTTCTCAGTCTCCATTCTCACACCCTTTTCTTTTTCCTTGTCCTCCCTTCTGCTTCTCCTCGTCCCTCCCCTCCCTGTACCCTGGCTCTTTCAGGCTCATCACCATGACCCTGGAGCAGGTCAATGTGAAGCAGGCAGGGCCTTCGGGGGGAAAAGGCGGCTTTGACGTGAAGGCGCTGCGAGCGTTCCGCGTGCTGAGACCCCTGCGCCTGGTGTCCGGAGTGCCAAGTGCGTGCTGGCTGCCTGCTGCTGGGGGCTGGACACACCCTCTGGGCCTGGCCAGGGTGGGGAGCCATGGGACAGGTTTCTTGTTGTTGCTGGATCCAGCCCAGCCACGAAGAATGTGTAGGGGAAGCACGGGTTGTTGCTTGTTCCTGCAGCTGGTGGTTGTCAGCCCTGGGGAGCTGCAGGGTGGCACACATCTGGCTGCCTCTGTGGCTCAGTGGCAGTACCTTTGGGTGACCAGGATCTTGCTCTGGTTTCTCAGAGCAGGGATCTTCTTCTGTAGCTCATTAATACAGCCAGGATGAGAGCACCAGAACAAAGGGAGGGGCATGAAGCAGCCTTCAGCACTGCCTGACTCTGTTGTGCCCTTCCACATGCTTTCCTGGTGGGTAGAAGTGAAATAGGGGTCTCCTCGAGCCAGGTCTCATAAGCTCTTGGAGATCTATATCACACCCAAGATAGCTCAGCTATCCTAGAAGGCATAAAATCAGCAGGATGGCTTCTGTGGTAGTGTTGGAAAGAAAAAAGTTTTAATACAAGGCAAAATAACAAAACTCTTTAGAGAAAAAGACCGAGCCAGGTGCAAGAGGTTCTTGCTCCTGGTAAAACACCTCACAAAAGCCATTAGTTTCTTTGTTCTCTTCTTTTTCTAGTAAATTGCTCAGGCGGGACTTTTTGGCTTCTGTCCAATTGGCTGTCCTTAAGTTTGAGGTGAAGTCCCCCAGGTCCTATGAGATGCCTTTTCACCTCCTAATTGAGGAGAAAAACCTCTGGGCTTATTTCCTTTTTAAGGAAACAAAGGATAGTTTTGTCACTCTGTCAACAAGGGGCACATTCCTACAAAGAAGAAAGGATTTTCTCCTTCAGAGATCTCAGACCCGCCCCACCCGTGCCCCTATTCCCTTGGCAAGGGGCATTTCAAAGGCTGCTTGTTGGTGGGCTGGCAGTGATACAAGGTGCACCCAACACTGTTTAGGAAGGGGTTGACCTCCTCTCCCCTCATCTTTGTGCAGGCCTTCAGGTCGTCCTGAACTCCATCATCAAGGCCATGGTGCCCCTGCTGCACATCGCCCTGCTGGTCCTCTTCATGATCATCATCTACGCCATCGTGGGGCAGGAGCTCTTCAAGGGCAGGATGCACAAGACCTGCTACTACCTCGGGACAGGTGGAGCTGTGGTGGGGAGTGCAGCAGGACTCTCTCTGTCTGGTGCTGTGAGACCACAGGGACTCTATGTTTGGTAGAAAGTGTGGTCAGGCCAGCATCAGGCCTGGGAGTGTGGCAGGACTGAGGGATGTCTGAAACAGCACCTAGCTGGGTGTGAGGGGTGGTGAAAGGGGCCCTTTAACTGGTTTGAGCTATGCAAGAAAAAAGTTTGGAAGAGTTCTGTTCTTTTCCCTCTCATTCTTCACCCTTTTTTTTTTTTTTTTTGGTTTTGCACACTTAGAAACACGGATCTGTGAGTTAGTTTTTGTCTTAGTGTCCATGGCTTTCTGAACTCTCAACACATCAACCTTTTCCCTGAGGTAGAAGCAGCTGTGAGCAAGCCCAGCCCTGGAGCCCATGGGCTGTGGTGTCTTCTGCCTGCACACAGAGCAGATGGAGCTGAGCAGGGAGCAGTTTGGAGCGGGAGGAAGTGTGTGCTGCTGTGTTTGCCCTGACCTGCCGCTCACACCATGGCTTTGCCCCTCAGATGTGATTGCCACGGTGGGCTCAGAGAAGCCAGCCCCGTGCACCAGCTCGGGCCACGGGCGGCACTGCAGCATCAACGGCAGCGAGTGCCGCGGCGGCTGGCCCGGGCCCAACAACGGCATCACCCACTTCGACAACTTCGGCTTTGCCATGCTCACCGTCTACCAGTGCATCACCATGGAGGGCTGGACTGAGGTCCTCTACTGGGTATGTGCCTGGCCTTCAAAACACAGCTGTCTGCTAAGGAAGGCAGGAGCCACCCCTGAAATGGGAAATGTTAACCCCCTCCCTCCAAACTGTTATAATTTTGAAACTAAGGGGCTCTCAGGGAAAGATATGGGAATAGGAATAACAGTTCTTTACTAGGAAAATTAAATATTATATATTTATTATATATATTTTATATATATATATTATATTTACTAGGAAAATTAAAAATTACAAATGCAATAGTAAAAACAAACAAACAAAAAAAATCCACTTCCAGAGTCAGAATCCAACCTGACCCTCTGTGTGTCAGGGTGGTGGCACAGTCCCATCCCATGGGGGCTCAGCCCTCCTGCCATGCCAGCTGTGCTTCTGCTGGAGCAGGGATCCTGCACAAGGCTGCAGTTTTCCTCTGAAGCTCCAGGGCTGCTGGAGATGGGCCTGCTCTCCCTCTGGGAATGCAGGGCAGGAGAAAGCTGCTCCTCTGGGAATGCAGTGGGCAAAGGCTGCTGGGGTGTTCCAGGCTCAGATTGTATCCAGGTAGGAATGCTGGGCTCCTGCCCTGGGCGGAGCATCTCCCCATGGGATGCTGGAATTTGATCAGCCATGCAGGGACACTCAGTGGCCATGAACAGCAGAGATCTGCTGGAGGGAGGATTGGCTGTGGGAGAGATAAAGGAAACTGCCCCATGAACAGCAGAGAACTGCCCCACCTCTAACTGATGGCAAATAGAATACACACCCCCATTTCCTTCCTAAGACAACAGGAGATTGCTCCAGCTCCCACCCTGTGAAGGGGTATGGGCCAGGCACAGCAATGACTGGTGGATGCTCCTCCAGCAAAGCCCATGTTCTCCAGTCCTTGGGAGACAGTCATGCTGAAGCTTAGGCTTGGGGCTGATGTTTAAATCTGCCCCCAAAATGTTTGGGTCTGGAGGTAAACCAGACACAGAGTTCTAGGCAGCCAGGGCTTGGAGCCAGGGTTATGTGCCACCATCCCAAGCACTGCTTTTGGAGGGGGCAAAGATCCCAGAGGCTGCTGAGGTACTCTAAGGGGAAACAGATGGAGGACAATGCCTTCAGAATATTTCAGCTGCATCTCTCCTTGCCAGGTAAATGATGCCATGGGAAATGAATGGCCCTGGATCTACTTTGTCAGCCTTATCTTGCTTGGCTCCTTCTTTGTACTCAACCTGGTTCTGGGGGTGCTCAGTGGGTAAGTGCCACCCTATCCTTTCTTCCAGCAGAAGAGTTTTAACTGGTTTCGACTATACAAGAAAAAAGCCTGAAAAAAGCCTGGAAAAGTTCTTTTCTCTCTCTCATTCCTCACCTTTTTTTTTTTTTTTTTTCTTTTTTTTTTTTTTTTTTTTTTTTTTTTTTTTTTTTTTTTTTTTGTTTGTTTGTTTTTTGTTTTGTTTTGTTTTGTTTTGCATGCTTAGAAACACTGATCTGTGAGCTACTTTTTGTGTTAACGTCCATGGCTTTCTGAGGTTTTAGCCCAACTCTCAACACATCAATCTTTTCCCTGAGGCAGAAGCAGCTGTGTGCAAGCCCAGCCCTGGAGCCCATGGACTCTGGTGCACACAGAGCAGATGGAGCTGAGCAGGGAGCAGGCACCCCAGGGCTGTGGGTCTGGGCACTCCTCACCTCCAGCTCCCTCCTGCTGTGAGCACACACAGCCTTCTCCTGGCCAGCCTAAGGAGAACATCTCTGATGAGTGCAAGGCATCCAAGGGAAGGATTGTTAGTCTAATTACTGCTTCAGCAGTCTCATCCAAGTACACCAATGAGCTGTCATCAGTCTGTTTTGACAATCTAGGCCAAATTCAATTAGTGTTAATTCCCCCCGTAGTACAGTTAAAACCTGAGATATTACACTCAACCTACCGTGCATTGCTGTGGGACTGCTACCATCCCAATTTTGTTGCTGGGAAATACATGTTGTCCTGAGAAGTGAGGGGGGCTTTTCTCCTCAGGTCTGTGTAGGGTCAGGGTCTTTTTTATGTTTCAGTCCTTGTTTGTGCAAGTGGATCACACTCATCACCTCTGTTAGTTCACAGTGTTAGTTATACCCTAATTACTTGGATTTGTTAGGCTTCTTTTATGATAAGAACCATGCCACAGTAGCATTAAAACAAATTGGGTGTTACTAGACCTAAAACAAGTTTAAAAGCACAAGATAAACCACAGGAACCTGATGCTTGTCTGGAGTTGACTGTAGCTGCAGGACAAGCTGGACTATAGTCATCTGATCCTGGAGCAGTTGCTGGCACAGAAACATTCTGAAATATTTTTGCAAATACAACTAAATTATGTTTGAGATCAGGAAAATTATTGTTATAGTGTCTGGGACCTGTTACTAACACATGGCAACACCAGCAGGGCTGGGTAGCAGGTCTGCAGTCCTGCCAGGCACCAGAGGAAGGAAATTAATTGAAAGAGAGCAGGAAGAGTGGGCAAGGACAAGGGCAGACCTATCCTTTTCATGTTACCGTGACAAGAGTGCCCTGTTTACCTGCCATGTGATGAACTCACCTTCTACATATGGACAGCTTTTTGCCCCCCAGGTGGGTGAGAGCCCACTCTGATGGGGAACTGTCCTGGCCAGCTGTCAGTTGGCTGTCCAGCTGTAGCACCCTGCAGTGAGAAGGTCCCAAAGAGCAGCAGTGGTGGGGAAGGAGCCCTGACTGCCATTGGCAGGTGGTGAGTCCCCATGACCTTGGCAAGAAGGAGGAAAGTCCCTGGAGCAGTGTAGTGGCAGTGCTGGTGTGTCTTGGTTTGAAAAGCTTACACACCCCCAGCCAACCTAACACATGGTGGCAGGGTGTTTCAGGGCTTTCCTACAAGGCCTGTCCTAGCACAGAGCTGTGGCTCCTGAGAGTTGCTGAGTTGCTTAGGCCATCCCCTGAGTCTCTGCTCTTGTCCTGTCACAGCGAGTTCACCAAGGAGCGCGAGAAGGCCAAGTCGCGGGGAACGTTCCAGAAGCTGCGGGAGAAGCAGCAGCTGGAGGAGGATCTGAAGGGCTACATGGACTGGATCACCCACGCAGAGGTCATGGACAGTGATCGGGCCAGGGGAGAAGGTACCAGCTCTGCTTGCTCAGAGACCCTTGGCCTGAGGGTTGGGTTGCTAATGCTGACCACCCAGAGAGGCAAGGTGGGAGTCTGTGAAGAAGTCACAAAGACTCATTTTGCCTGAAAACCCACAAAACAAAATGCTTTGACTTCTGCAGGACAGTTTCCTTCCTCTGTTTTTTTTTTTTTTTTTACATTTCCTGATCAATTTGGTTGATTCTGACCCAAACTAGCAATAATGTATCCGTGATGGTAAATCTCCATTTCAACCACAGTGTTTAATATTTGCAGGCCACAAGCAAGGCCTGAGTCTCCTTTGGCAAGTGGGGCTGAAAAGGCCATGAGGAGCATGTGCCCTTGGTGTGCAAGGATACAGTCAGGGCCACAAGCTCTCACGCTAGCAGATGCATAAATTTCTTGCCATCACTTGACAGTTTCCAGGGCCCAGGGAAGGAGGTGGATATAGAGGCATCTAGCCAACAGCTCAGCAAAGCCTGGGGAGTTCTACCCGAGCCACAGGGTTTGCTGTGCCACCCTTCCTGGTGAAAGCACTTTTGATGCCTCAAGCTGAGTGATGCATGTGTGCAAAGAGCCTTGGGGAGCAGTGGGACAGACAAAAAACCTCTTCCAGAGCTGTGGCCCGTGTTCTGTTCAGCTTTTGCTCAGATCCCAGCTAGCCCCAGTTTTTCCATGCTGGGGTGCTTGCTGCTGTCCCTCTCTGGGCTGCTGCTGCTCCTCCTGCAGGGCAGCAGTTTCTCATGCCTCATGCTTGGTTTGCATCTGACCCTCAAGGCCTTCTGCCCAAACTTTGGTTGCTGACTCCCTGGGATGGCACTGCTTGGTGGGGATTATTCACTTCTGATGGGGAAGCTCTTCCTGATGTACTTTTCAAAGAGGTTGCCTCCCACATGTTCTTCCCAAGGGCTCAGAGAAAAGCCTATGATGTCATTCCCTCTAGGTATGATGCCATCGGATGAAGGAGGGTCAGAGACAGAGAGCTTGTATGAAATTGAGGGCATGAACAAGTGGATTCTCTTCTTGTAAGTATGCCCTGACTGAACCCTCTGCTTGCATGTGGGCTTCCACTGTCTCTCATTTGCTGGCCCAGCTGGGCCAGGCTTTCCTGGTCAGCCCCCTGTTTTTGGCAGGGACTGGTGCATGGGGGAGATGCAAACATTGGGGTAGCAAACAGGAAATTTGGCTATGGTACTGGCAAAAAGTTGCTCAAGGTGGACACTGTCTTTGCTGTGGGACCAGGCTCCCAGCTCCTCCCATGGCCTGTGCAGCATGGTGTGGAATTTAGGAGCTGTGCCTGCAAGCCTGCCCTGTGAGAGGGGCTGGAGGCCAAAACTGAGCCAGGAGGCTGAATGAGCTGCAGTGCCTGAGTGACTGCACTGAGTTCCAGGGGCAGGTTATGGTCCTCATCCCTTTTCAGGGAGGGAGCAGGGGTGGCTTTGTCCTGCAGGCACAGCCCGAGGGACTGGGTCTGGCCCACTGTCAGCTCTGCTGATCCTTTGCCTTCTCTCCAGCCGTCAGTGGAGGCGTTGGAACCGAATGTTTCGTAGGAAGTGCAGGGATGTGGTGAAGTCCAAGTTCTTCTACTGGCTTGTCATCCTGATGGTGGCACTGAACACCCTCTCCATCGCCTCCGAGCACCACTTCCAGCCAGAGTGGCTGACACGGGTGCAAGGTGAGCAAAGAGCCTCCATTTCAACCACAGTGTTTAATATTTGCAGACCACAAGCAAGGCCTGAGTCTCCTTTGGCAAGTGGGGCTGAAAAGGCCATGAGGAGCATGTGCCCTTGGTGTGCAAGGATACAGTCAGGGCCACAAGCTCTCACGCTAGCAGATGCATAAATTTCTTGCCATCACTTGACAGTTTCCAGGGCCCAGGGAAGGAGGTGGATATAGAGGCATCTAGCCAACAGCTCAGCAAAGCCTGAGGAGTTCTACCCCAGAGGCACAGGGTTTGCTGTGCCACCCTTCCTGGTGAAAGCACTTTTGATGCCTCAAATCCGTGATGGTAAATCTCCATTTCAACCACAGTGTTTAATATTTGCAGACCACAAGCAAGGCCTGAGTCTCCTTTGGCAAGTGGGGCTGAAAAGGCCATGAGGAGCATGTGCCCTTGGTGTGCAAGGATACAGTCAGGGCCACAAGCTCTCACGCTAGCAGATGCATAAATTTCTTGCCATCACTTGACGTTTTCCAGGGATTAAAAGTGGCCCAGGGAAGGAGGTGGATATAGAGGCATCTAGCCAACAGCTCAGCAAAGCCTGGGGAGTTCTACCCGAGCCACAGGGTTTGCTGTGCCACCCTTCCTGGTGAAAGCACTTTTGATGCCTCAAGCTGAGTGATGCATGTGTGCAAAGAGCCTTGGGGAGCAGTGGGACAGACAAAAAACCTCTTCCAGAGCTGTGGCCCGTGTTCTGTTCAGCTTTTGCTCAGATCCCAGCTAGCCCCAGTTTTTCCATGCTGGGGTGCTTGCTGCTGTCCCTCTCTGGGCTGCTGCTGCTCCTCCTGCAGGGCAGCAGTTTCTCATGCCTCGTGCTTGGTTTGCATCTGACCCTCAAGGCCTTCTGCCCAAACTTTGGTTGCTGACTCCCTGGGATGGCACTGCTTGGTGGGGATTATCCACTTCTGATGGGGAAGTTCTTCCTGATGTACTTTTCAAAGAGGTTGCCTCCCACATGTTCTTCCCAAGGGCTCCGAGAAAAGCCTGTGATGTCATTCCCTCTAGGTATGATGCCATCGGATGAAGGAGGGTCAGAGACAGAGAGCTTGTATGAAATTGAGGGCATGAACAAGTGGATTCTCTTCTTGTAAGTATGCCCTGACTGAACCCTCTGCTTGCATGTGGGCTTCCACTGTCTCTCATTTGCTGGCCCAGCTGGGCCAGGCTTTCCTGGTCAGCCCCCTGTTTTTGGCAGGGACTGGTGCATGGGGGAGATGCAAACATTGGGGTAGCAAACAGGAAATTTGGCTATGGTACTGGCAAAAAGTTGCTCAAGGTGGACACTGTCTTTGCTGTGGGACCAGGCTCCCAGCTCCTCCCATGGCCTGTGCAGCATGGTGTGGAATTTAGGAGCTGTGCCTGCAAGCCTGCCCTGTCAGAGGGGCTGGAGGCCAAAACTGAGCCAGGAGGCTGAATGAGCTGCAGTGCCTGAGTGACTGCACTGAGTTCCAGGGGCAGGTTATGGTCCTCATCCCTTTTCAGGGAGGGAGCAGGGGTGGCTTTGTCCTGCAGGCACAGCCCGAGGGACTGGGTCTGGCCCACTGTCAGCTCTGCTGATCCTTTGCCTTCTCTCCAGCCGTCAGTGGAGGCGTTGGAACCGAATGTTTCGTAGGAAGTGCAGGGATGTGGTGAAGTCCAAGTTCTTCTACTGGCTTGTCATCCTGATGGTGGCACTGAACACCCTCTCCATCGCCTCCGAGCACCACTTCCAGCCAGAGTGGCTGACACGGGTGCAAGGTGAGCAAAGAGCCTGAGAGAGGAGAGCGCAGGACCCCATGCTGCCCCAGAGAGCTGTGTGGGCTCCTGCTGTGAGTACACAGCCACGCTGGCACAGCACAGGCTCTCAGGCACACACAGAGCCTGCACTGACTGTGTGTGTGCTCCTTGCTGTCATACAGCTCACACTGACCACGCTCTGTACTCCTAGGGACATGATCTTTCAAGGTGAGAACACAGAACGTGTCCATTGGCATCTCTGCACACGTGGCACACACTCAAGCCATGCAGCCACACACATTTGTGCATGCAGCCCCACTGACTGCACCTCCACACACCCACACACCCCCCGAGGCACACAGAGCACAGGTGTGCACACACACACACCCAGAGGCACACAGAGCACAGGTGTGCACACACACACACCCAGAGGCACACAGAGCACAGATGTGCACACACACTGCTCTCACACAGAGGCACACAGAGCACAGGTGTGCACACACACACACTCAGAGTCACATGGAGTACAGATGTGCACACACACAGAGCTTGCACCCAGAGGCATGTGGAACACAGGTGTGCACAGACACAGAGCTCAGCCCAGGTACACACAGCTCATACCCAGAGGCACACAGAGCACAGGTGTGCACACACACAGAGCTCAGCCCCATGTACCCATGCACAGCCCACATGCCCACCCTGCATGGACTCGTGTGCACTGCACAGGTGTGTGCTCACACACACAAGCATGCAGCTGCACATCACTCTCTCATTTTCCTCCCCTCTGTGGTCCCCAAAAACCAGCAGCTCAGGACTCGGTGTGCCAGAGGAGGGTGAGCAGCTCTGCCCTCCTTTCCTGGCTGCCTGCCATGCTGGGTTGAGGTCCCTGCTCTGACAGGCTGCCTCTCCCACCCAGACAATGCCAACCGGCTGCTGCTCGCCCTCTTTGTGGCCGAGATGCTGCTGAAGATGTACGCGCTGGGGCTGCGCCAGTACTTCATGTCGCTCTTCAACCGCTTCGACTGCTTCGTGGTGTGCTCGGGCATCCTGGAGACCATCCTGGTGGAGCTGGGCACCCTGTCCCCCCTGGGCATCTCCGTGCTGCGCTGCATCCGCCTCCTGCGCATCTTCAAGATCACCAGGTTGGGAGGGAGCTGGGTGTGTGGGGCTGAGCTGTGTGTGTGCATGCACACCTGTGCACCCTGTGCCTCTGAGTGTGAGCTCTGTGTGTGTATCAGGGGCTGAGCTGTGT